AGAGCCCTGTGCTGCCGGCAGCACCACTTGGTCCCTCGGCCAAGCTCGGGCTGTGGGGAGCTCCCAGACAGACTTGGGTTGTTTTAAAGCCAGGAGAATGCACAAGCATATTTTAGCAGCAACCTTAAGTTGTTCTCAGAGTTGTGTATACAAATCATGTAATTAAGGTAGCAAAAGAAATATTTTTTTTGTTTTATTTCACCTGGTATTTTAGGACAGCTTTTGGAAAAGTCTCCTTTCTGGTCTGGGGTGTATTTCTGTATTGTGAAAAGTCTCCCTGTTCTCCCCCTGTCCTTCCGCAGGATTCCTTCAGTGATGGAGCAGGTCCAGCACTAGGCTAGGGCCTCAGGCTAGCAAGCATTTGGGTACAAATTAAACAAAATATCTGATCTTAGGAGGAAAACAGAGAATTTTCTTTCAAATTGATGCTTGCAGCGGATCCTTGACCATTGGCATACCCACGGTTTTGACTTTTCGGTGGCAACTGGTGTTTGTGGCTGCCCGGGACAGGTCTATATAACTAATAAATGTGCTGGTGTAAAAGGCGGCATCTCCTCCAGGCTGCTGGTGGCAGGTTTGCATTGTGCAATGCAGGAGGGAGCCAGCCATGAGCGTGCCGGAGCGTGCAGTGAGCGCGCTGTTGCTTCTGTGGCTCTGAGCTGGGATGTCTCATTCTCATACCTGACGCTGTTTTGCAGTATTGCTGGAAGCCTGGTGTATTCCTACATCACGTTCACGGAGGAGCAAATGAGCAAGCAGTCTGAGGCTGGCATCAAGATGGATATTAAAGGAAAAAGCTCTGTGTGACCAGGGAAAGGCTTTTTTTGGAAGCAACCTATTTCTGTTCAGCTGATCACGGGCAGAATGCAGGAGGGAATCCGGGGCATCTGCCATGGAGTAACGGTGATGCTCTTAATTTGCACAATCTAGATTGCTGCCTTTACAAATCATTGGGAAGATAACTGACTGCACGATGAAGGATACATCTAATTAAGTCTGATCATGAGGAGTTAATGGGTTTCTAATCACGCTGAGATTTGGCAGTAGAGATTGGCACAAGCACCGTACACGTTTGAATCGCGGAGGACTGTGTCGGCTCTGAGGGCCGTACCCTGAGCATCCTTGGCTGCGTCTCGTCTCGGTGCAGCTACCACCCAGCGCAGCCGGGGACGGATGCTGGGGCTGGCTCTGCTCTGTGCCTCCCCCAGCCTGGACCCTCCGGCTGGGCAGCATGTGCTGCTGCTGCTGCTGCAGGAAGGTGAGACCATGGTACCTGGCACGGATCTGGCCCCAAAGGGCAGGCGAACCCCTTCTCTCCCTAGGGGAGAGGAGCGGAGGAAGGGGAGCTGTGGCATTGCAGCCCACGTGAGGTGAGCACTGGTATGCTCTGCAGGATGCTCCTGGTTTGGGCCAAAACCCCTTTGTTGAATGCTCAGTGCTCTCTGAGCTTACATATGTTTGTTGTTTTTTTTGTTCTGTTAACCCACTTTTAAAGCTGGGTTTACCCTCCTTGGTTTCTAAGAGCTCTGCAAACATTCACCCCTCTCTTTCCCGCCCGAGGTCACTTTTACGAGGCTCAGGGATGTTCCCAACATGAAGGTTTTACCTGCCGCCAGTGAGCTCGGCAGGGCTGGCAGCCTCCTTCAAACCACCCCAGGGTCAGAAACCTTTGGATTTGGGGAAGCTCCTGGCCGTGCCAGGGCTGGCCCCGGTGCAGGGACCCTCGCAGGGCACTTTGGATCCAATGGGGAGTAGCTGCAGGGTTTGCAGGAGAGATGACGATGTCCCACCTGCCACACAGAGCCTCCTCCTTCAGTCCAGAAAATTCGCTACAAAGTGAAGGCTGCTGCTCCTGCCCCTGCAATCCCCTTCCCACCCATCAGCATCGTGCACGCACCTGTAAGAGACACAGGGACTTGAATCGTGTTGTTTTGGCAAGTCAATGGGAGACTCTTGGGGCTGGTGGGGTGGGTGGCTCTGCGGGCGCTGCTGCGTGTCCCCACGGCACTGAGCGCATATTGTGCGTGTCCACACCACAGCGCCAGCACTTCAGCTTTGGCCAAGCCCTGTCCCCCAGTTCGTTGTTTGATGCAGTAAGTCTTCTTTGGTTTGTGACCCATTAAAAGAATGGGATTTTTAATATGTCGGGCAGTGTTAACTGATGTTTTTTAAAGGTTGTCTGACACAGCACTTCTTTCTAGGTCTCTCCTTGGGTTGTCTTTTGGTTTAAAAAGAGTTGTTTATAATTTTGGTTAAAAAAAAAATTGTGGTAAAACTATGTATTTATGAAGATTTTTTGTATACGTTCCTTTGGTAACCAGGAAAATAGCTTCTGTAGACACTATAATTTGTTTCTGGAAGGTATTTGCTAAAAATGAAACTGCTGTTTGGTGAAACTGCATTTATTGGCGTGCTTAACATCATTGACGTTTTTACATGTGACGGAGACTTTCTGTAACAGTGCTGCAAAGCCTGATGTGCTGGTAAAGATGCAGTGCGAGTCTGCCAGCCCCTGCGCTGCCACCTGCTCCAGAATCCTGTCCCTGGAGTCATTCTGGCCAGGCGTGCCGGAGCTGATGTCTCCGTACCAGAGCCTGGGTCTTCCCTTCCCCCCCGGGGGGCTCCCTTCTGGGGGCAGCAGGATGCTGAATGGGTGTGGCAGGGAATTGGTGTGGTTACTATATTTATAAGGCACCTGGCAGCACAGAGGGCTGGGTCGGTGTGTCCCAGAGCAAGGAGCTGCCCTTCAGTGGGGCTCCCCGCCCCACTGCACTCGTAGTGCAGAATCGGAGAAAAAATAAATTCCCCGATCATTTTTATTGCTTCCTAAATTTCAGTAAAGCCTCGGATTTGCAGTCAGCTGCAGAGCTTTTCTTTTCTGGGGAAAGATGATAAATGCTTCCTGCTGTGCAGAAGACCCAGAGCTACTCACACATCAGCTCCAGGCGGGGTTACGGCTCCCAGCAGCCGGGTGGTGCTGGGGCCGGCAGACCCCCGTCCTGGGTTCCCCTGGTCCCTGCAGCTTCCAGCTGCCGCAGCCCCCTCCAGCGTGTGCTTTCACTGGTGCTGTGCCGGATCAAACCCCCGTCCTTCAGCCAGGCCTGCACGTTCGTCTCGCTTGAACAGAAATACTTGGAAATCACTTTTTGCCACGTTTGCTTGTAACCTCGCTGTGCTGAGGCGTTCGCAGTCAGGATGTCGATTCTGTCAAAAGTTTTGATTTTTGTTTATTTTTGAATCTACTGGTTAGATTTATTGTCCAAATGGTAAAATATTTTTAAAGCTTATTTTGTTTGTAACTGGGCACACTTCAGTGCCAGAGTCTGGATGGTATTGTATACACTGGGAAAGTGAACAGAGTTCCTACAACAGTATTTTCTACACTATTAATTGACTAAAATTTTTTCTATATAGAATATTTACAAAATTACCATTTTAGTAATTAAAAAGGTGACCTTTTTATTTGAATGTACGGCAGGCTTTATATGTCAGTCAGTGATGACAGCAAAAATGATTTTATGTGCCTATGTATTTTTGTACTGGCTTCAAATAAACCAATGACCTTCCCTCCTCCTCCTACCCCGCCTGCTCTTGCCTTCTGCCCAGGGGCTGGCCCTCGCTTCCCTGTAGCAGCAAGAAGATAAAGGCTAGAGACGATGAAGCGGCTGAGGCCAAATAAAACGGGTGCAGCCGGGCTCCCCCAGCAGCCCAGTTGTAGCATGTTTGTTGTCCCTTCTGCACGTACTCTGGTAGGTGTGGAGGAAGCGGGGGGTGAGGGAGGTCTCTTGGGTCTCTTGCGTTTTCAGCTTTAAATATTCTTTGAGGAAGGGAAAAGATCCTAATGGGAAAAACACCAACCAACTGACACAAAAAAAACCCCTAGTGCAATAAAATCAGTCCCTCTCCTTCTCCCCAGCTAGCCCAAGCTGTTAGGCGGGCCTTGATGTGTTATATGGGGGAATGTGGCACTCTGTGAGGTGCTTAATGCTCCCATTCAAAAAACTGTTGGTGCTGTGTGTGCAAGGTAACTGCAGAACAAGAGCTAGTCGCAAAGTCAGCAAGACAGCTCCTGCTGTAGCAGGGCCCTGCCACACCTCCTGCCTGGTGCTTTCTGGCTGCAAGTAACAGCAGTGTTGTGACTTCCCGGGCCTTTGACTTAGAAATAAAAATTAACTGTTCCGCTGTAACCCACAGCTAACCCACTGCCGCCCTTCCTCGTCCTGTCCATCCTCGATGGCAGCACCAAGCTTCTTCTGTGTCCTCCTTCTCTGTCCTCCTTTACATTATGGTGCCTGTACTTTAAAGCATACAGCAAAACCCACTTCCCCCCAGGCTGACCCACTGCCCCTCCAGCTGCTCGGAGTAATGCCCAGCTCTGGTCTACGCCTGCCCTGAGTGGCCCTGGGAAAGCGTTATGAAGAAAGGTGTGAGAGGGGCCTGCTTTTAGGGGAATGAAAAAAATGGTTCAAAGTTCAATCAGAAAAGGGTATTTTGTTTCTGTGGTTTCCACCGCAGCAGTAACGGAGTCACTACCACACTGCTACAATGGGATGGGGCGTTCGCATCCTCTGTAGGCAGAAATACTCTACCTGCTGTTTTGCTCAAAAACAACAGCAATTTTTTATGCAAACAGTACGTTTAAAAAAATATTTTAATAAGCTTTTTCAGAATTGCAGACAGGGAGCGGGGATAAGAGAAGGGAATTACTAACAGTGCAAAATTCCTATGTGTGGAAAAATGTATAAAACTGGTATGTAAATTTTGTGTGTGTGTGTAGTTGTTTTTTTAATATCATGTTTAATCCTTTAGAAAGCCCAGCAAGGATTTATTCTGTTGAACTGGATTCTCCGTTCAGGCTGCAGTCTTAAAGCACTTCATGAACCCAGGACACCCGCTCCAGCTGAACCTATCGTCATCGTGCTTGAAAAACAGACCCAAGTGTCACACGCAAGTTGTGATCTTTTCAACGCAGTTTGGAAACACGCTGAAAACACTTCTGGGCTCCAAACTGTACTGGAAGCTTTTTAAATGAAATCAAAGTTACTATATTTCTAGAATTTTAAATAGCTTTAGTAGTGCAATGACTTATCAAGTTATAGTGGCTGCATTTTGAAGAACATGAACAAAGTATTGTATAAAACACCAGCATAAACAAAATGTAAATTGTAATTAAATATTCTTAAAGTCTAGCTGAGCATTACATATTTGTTGATTATGGAATGTCAGGTCTCTTCTACGTATCACCAAAAAAAGGAAAGATGAAAAACAAAGCAACATTCCTGAAAATATACACAGTGCTGTATTTCACACACAAGCCTGAGACAATTTACTTATGAACTTTCCTATAAATTTTTGGAAGTATTTCCAACTTGCAAACAAAAATGCATAAAAATAAAACTGAAAATAGGACTCTAGCTGCAAAGACTCTTAGAAGCACTGCACTGCCCTCAGTCTGAAACCGTCTCAAGACCATCTTCAATATAAGGCGGTGATACTTTGGGTTTCCGTTAATAAACCAGATTGTAAAGTTAACAGCAACCTCTTGCTAAAGCAATTGCTTAATTAATCAATCACTTAATTGATTAATGCAGGCCATACATTAACAAACCTTACCAATGTGCCTCTCCACGTAAATTGCTGTCTAATTCTAGGCAGATGTCAACTTCTGCACATCCGCTGAACCAGTTAGAAGGGATCATTCCCAACGTTTCTGGGAACAGCAGGTTAATACGCTCCAGTAACTCATCATGGTGGTGGAGCCAGGCCGGATCCAGAAGATTTGGCTCATTAACGACCATAAAGTCCAAGTACATGTAGTTGAAGGAGATAACAAAACAAACAAAACCCTTAGCAGTTGTTTTTTTTAGGTTGATACATTAGTTTCAAACCATAGGACCGCACATTTAAAACTGGAATCGTAAAGACTCATAAACTTTAAGTAAAAATAACCAATTAAAAATTAACAGCACTCCTGTAAGCCACAGGAGGAGGAGATAAGATTATAAATTATACAAATGAACAATTTTTCCTATTTTTAATACAGTAGATGTGTAGCTGCGGCTTAAAAAAAACAAAATTAAAAAAACCCAAAACACCGGTATTAAAAATCTTGCTACTTCATGGATGTAAACCCTACTTCAACAACTTTCAAATTATGCTAGTGGGACGGTGAGCATCACCCCCTCCACACACTTTTATAAAGAGTTTTCGTTTCTCGCACTTTAATCATAAACCAGTTATCCATACCTACTCTCACTTCTTACCCATGTGAATCTCTATATACTGAGTGTATATATGTGTATACGCTCTACCAAGTATGTGTATGTGATGTTTCTGCTCCCACTGAAATACCCATCCATATAAGGTCCACTAGTTTTCAGAAATTCAAGATCAGGCACCAGGTTACCAGCTGCACGTCCATTTCTAACCTGTACAGCCAGAATCACTTGACCCATTTCCTACCCTTCCTGTGGTCAGTGAAATGTAGAAGATGATAGACAGACTGAAAATAAATCAATGGATAATCTAACACCTGATCTTGGCGAACAAGGTTTAGTAAACTTAAGCATTTGGCTGACGTGAAATTTATCTGAGCTCAAAATAAAATGAGAAGATGTATAATGAAAGCAAGAAAATTTGTGCAATGCAAGCATCGTGCTTAACAAATTTTTAGCATCACTATTTGCCATAAAACAGAAGTAAGAAAAAACATGTTTTCAAAATCAAATGACTTCTAACCATTCTTGATGTTAATTGTTTACTGTTTTCTGAGAAGAAAATAACATGTTGGTGACTAATCAGCATTTTTTAAGTCAATTGGTTTGGTTTGGGGTTTTTTTGTTGTTTTTTTTTTTTTAGAAAAGACTTCAGCAAAATAAAATGAAGCTGACATTAGACTCAGGATATCAATTCTCTCATAAAAGTTTACCAACTGTACAAGTTAAGAAAATTATACAAGCTTTTGTTTGAAGAAAGGACAGTTCAATCAAGACATAAGTACTGTAAAAATCTTTCAAAGGCTACAAAGAAATCTGGAAAAATACAGAATGTATTTCTTTAGCCCAGATAAAGAATATGGAAAGACATCATTGATGTCAACAATTTTACATATACAAACCTGACCTGGTTTATTTATTTACCTTTTAAAACTTCTATATATAAAAATAGTTGTGCTCGTAACTTTCAGGATTCATAAGGGTTCCTTAACAATGGGATGACACTTTCCTCTCGCTAGCATGAGTGGAAGTCTCTGTGCCTACTCTGATGTGTGTCTTGGCATTCTGTATTTCATTTTAACTTCCTGCAACATTTGAACCAGCCCCCTGCTTCAAATAGGATGCTTTGTTCACTTGTACAATGCTTAAATGGTGTATTACACACAGAAGATTCTTTAATGTATTAGGCTGGGAGTATTTTTGCAGAAACTCACTGATTTGTTTCTCAAATATTTTTAAGAGCCTTAGAGTTCCCAGAACTACAGTTGCCAGCTCTGAGAAATGGAATATTCTCCTACTGCTTTTCAGCACTGGAAAAAACCAAATAATCAGATCTTAAGAGCCAAGTAGAAGGTATTAGAAAAAATCTCAGCAGATTGTTTTACGGAACTGGATTTTGTAAGGTAACCCATCAACCCTGAAAATTTTAGACACCCAAAATTTACTCCAAGGAATAAAATCAGCTCCTAGTATTCAGTCATCCAAAGTTTCTAGTTCTTCAAGCTTCCCATGTGAGTTTGCTTCTTGGAAGAACTCTGAAGAACCTGGACTCTCTTTTCCGTTGCTGTTAATTCTTCTTCTTTTTAGAGGTCTTTCGGTTTTTTCTTCAAAATCATTTTCATTTCTTGAAGCTGAATGAGCAAGTTTTGGATCAGTGGAAAGGTTTTCAGTTTCATACCCATTTGTATCCAGATCCGTGTGAGGTGTTTTCTTGCCACTGGTAGGTCCATTTACATGCAATCCTTCAATTTTTGCTTCATCTTTATTTGGTATCTCACCTGGCCCATTAGCAGACACACCTGCGTTACAGAGACATACCATAAGAAAGAGAACAGAAGTGTAAGCAGTAACAGAACAATCTGTGACAGCTCAATAAAGCAGAAGTCTAACTAGTCCTATTGAACTAAAAAGCCAATATTGTTCTCCGTATCCTCACTGTGTGATGAACGAGTGATTTATTTGCATACAAATGACAGACTTACCATGACGGAGTTTATGGAAGCCCTTACAAGCAACAGCAGCCAAGAAAATGTCCTAGAATCCCATAACTGTACAAGCTGCAGGTGGACTGTCCTCACCTGGGCAGTTTCTGTAGCTTCCACTCGATTTTCACAATCTGATTCAGCCCCCAAGCTCCTCCCTCCTCTTGCTACTGCTTTCACTTCAGCTCCTTCAGAACGGCTATCCCTTGCTTTTGAGGTTTTCTTCCTTCACGAGTGATCGTGCCCTGGCTCTTCTCCCATTCCTAACTGCCCTTCAATGCCCCACGTCTGGTAAGAATAGCTAACGGTGTTCCTGAGCCAAGCACTAGCGTGCTGCATGATAGCCCAGTTCTCATCTCAGTTGTTTTAAGTATCCTGCCCGGGACTCCTCACAAAGTTAGCATTACACTACACTAGCATGGGGAAGACAGTAACAGATGTTTACATTTAAAAGGAAGATTCTAGTGCAGATTCATGTGACCACTGGCTAAATGCAAACATGTAGCTTTTTTAAAAAACATTTTTAACTTAAAGCTGCTAACACCTTGGAAAATATTTGAAACTACAATAGACTTGTTTTTAGAGAGGCAAGCTGAACTTCTCATTTGGCTTGTCATCTGCGATGATTTGGCAACTCTGTTCAGGAGGGACAGGGCACGCACTTACCATTCTGATTACTGTTGCTGGTTGTGCTGTCTTCCCTTTCAGACTGGCTCGTGCTGCTGTTGGAAGTTGTAGGAGGAGGGGACGGAGCTCTACTGGAAGCAGCACTTTCACTTTCATCCAGGAGACGGTCCATATAATCTCTACACAAGAGAAACAGCACATTCAGCATTGCCCTTGCTGTGTAAAGGATTGGTGTTATTTGTACAAAAATATTCACTGCATATACTGCAAGTGTGACCAATTCACATTTTATATCTTTTGAAATGCACAGACTTATCTTGCAAAGTTAACAACTTTAAGATCTCCTGTGTTAACTGGCCCACGTATGGTTTGTCCACAGCAACTACATTTTTATTGACCAATCACTGCAGCCAGCTTACATAAATTCAGCCTGTGCTTATGCTAAGTCCCATAAGATCATGCACAAGCAGAAACTTCAATATGCTGTGATGTTGTGGACTGTATTTTCAAGGTGATGCTCTCAGGCAGGTTCATACTAAGCTCTTGCAATTTGCTGCGGCAGTGATAACATACCATTAAAGTAAACAAGTTTTGTGCACATACAACCTCAAAAGGGGTAAAGTTAAAAGCAAATTAAAAACTTCAGAGTTAAAGATAAAACATTTCCATATCTGAAATATGTTACTGTCCTACAATTTAGGTCACTAATAGTAAATCTCTTATGAAAGATTTAAACAAAGAAAGATGGTTGGTAAAGCCCTTCTACATATGGTATTAGTCTGGATTAACTCCAGAAACAGCATATCCTCACACATAATTATTCTGGAACTGATACTGCACCCTAAATTCCCACATCTATCTGTAAAAGCATTCAAGAATAGACAAGTACAATCCTTAATGACACTTCTTCTGATCACCATATGCAGTCAACTGCAAAAGAACCAAAGAATGTTTTAAGTCATTAACAACCAAAAATGTCTACTAATTTGGGCAAAAATGGAAAAAAAAAAACCCAGATGGAAGAAGAGGGGGAGACAGACAGTCCCTGACAACTGGTTATGAAAATCCAGCAGCTCTGGGTGCTTCTCTGTAACAGTCTACTTTACAAAGCCACAGATAGCAACCCTTAATGTCATGCTGCAAGTTCACTTCAGTGGTCCAACACACAGTTCTAAAATGTTTAAAGAAACAATAATTTTAAAAAGAAGGAGCAACAGAGAAGCCAGGAACAAATGAGAAGAAAAAAATAATAGTAAAAAGACTTGGAGAACGTCAGCGGAAAGAGTGGGATACTAAAATCATAGCATTGGAATGAAGGGCAGAATAATAGGTTGGCTCACTTGCTCAGATTTGAGGGAGGAAAATACACAGCTATGCAGACATTTCCCTCTTTGCCCAGCAGAGATGTGAATGGGGATAGGAGCTATATACACCCAAAAAAGCCCTAGTACAAGGTACTGTGTTGGCCGGAATTCTTGCCAAACAATACATTTCAAGAGTATGCTACAGCATGTACCACAAATCCCACCTGAAACTTGTGACTAACGCCTTATAAAACAAGTATTTAAAGTAAACCAAGCATTTAAAAAATTCCACATATTTGCAGAAATATTACATTTGTGAAACATTTAAACAGAAAACAAACTAAATTAAATAGCTGTTCAATGCAAATTGTTGGCCTTATTCCAAATAAATGTATTTTAGAAATTACATTATATGCACTAGTCAGCTTTTCTTACACCTTGGCTGGTTTCCTGCTGCAAATTGGGACTATGGAATCCCTAGGTGGTCATAGCATTTCAGATTAGAGCAGTATAAAAGAAAGATTTAGATCCAACATGTAAAAGCACATAAAAATAATGCACATCTTACGTTACACCAGGATGAAGATTGTATTTCTTCTTTCCAAATCGGGTCTGCTGCGCAAAGAAATCATAACGCTCTGATTTCTTCCACATGTAATAAAATGCTACACACTCACCAACTGATCTTGTTCGTACCTAGGAAATATGTGCCATGCAAATTTGATGAATTTAAATACATTTTTGGCAAAAAGCTACCATTTAAATCAAAAGGTGTGAAATTCAAAGTCAATGCTTCTTTATAAAACATAGGAAATAGTGGAAACTATTGACTCAAAATTTCAGAGACCCAGAAATTGAAATGCAAAGTTTAATAGTGTTTCTAAGAATACTGAAGGTATCGTGAGGTGCCGCAAGCAACAGCTTCAGGAGAAATACTCAAGTCTGTTTCACCAGTCTATTCAAGACCAGAATAAGACTCTAGGGATGCAGATCTCCCCCTATGTATGCACAGCAGGATTTTTGCACTGGACTTAGTGAAATGCAAAGTTTAATAGTGTTTCTAAGAATACTGAAGGTATCGTGAGGTGCCGCAAGCAACAGCTTCAGGAGAAATACTCAAGTCTGTTTCACCAGTCTATTCAAGACCAGAATAAGACTCTAGGGATGCAGATCTCCCCCTATGTATGCACAGCAGGATTTTTGCACTTTTCTGGACTTAGGGTTCACAGCCACAGTTACAGAGGATTCTGGACTTTGACAAACCAATTTAGACATATATGCAGTAAAAATTAGAAGTAGTAAATATGGTAATTTGTGAACGAAATGGAGGATAAGAATTTATTTACAATTACGTTGCTTTAAAAAAAAGCTGAGAACTACACTTAAAATCAGTGTTTACCTTATTTGCCTGAATCACATGAAAATCCTTGCCATAGACTTTCAGTCCTTGTTCAAAGTTCCTACATTCTTCTTCTGTCCAAACAGATAATTCTTCTATAGCAAGGAAACGCAATAGAGAAAATACTTAACAAAAAAGCATGCGGCCAATAAAAGAAAACTTAAGTGACAGAAAACATACGTGGTATTCAAGTTTCTTACACCATCTGCTGACTAAATGAGAACCACCTCCAGAAATTTCACTTACTAGTACAAAATTGAAAATTCTCCCTTCTAGTGAGTAGGTGGGAAACTTGGCTGCCTTAAGTAGCTCATCAGTAGGGACTGTTATAAATGGTCCGTAACTCCAGCCCTGCTGCATGGGGGAAATAACTAGGCAGCAGAAAGAGGAAGAAGGGCTTAGAAATTTGGTCTCACCATTCTGCCCCTAGAACCACAGGAAGCAGGTATCCTTCAAGCCAGGACACAGCACGAAGGAGCTCATACTATGGACTCTAACTGGTTGCTGGAATTTGGAAGAAGCAGGGGAAAAGGAATGAGGAATGAGATCTTTACTGCTGGCAAGAGCCAGCAATGATAGGCTGTTAATTCCAGTTAGGTAGAAAAAGAAACTGTGCTGCCACACTATTGGGTGGGAAATCTTGGCCCCCCAGAATAAACCCCTAATAACTTTCAGCCACACTTCTAAGAACTTAATATAATTTGGCTTTATTGATTCTTAAGGTCACAAATAAATAAGGATTAAAATAGTGGGAGAACAAACTAATCTTCTCTATTTGATCATTCTTGTCTTGTGATTTGCACAGTAAACTCTGGAGAAGCCACAGGTTTGAAAGCAGAACCAACAGATCAATGTGAAAGGAAAATAACTTGTGCCTTCTCTTAGTTTCTTGTTCCTTTGAGTATAAAGATCAATACCAAAACAGGAAATGCTTAAGGCTTCAAAAGCATCTTTAAGACCAGGGTCTTTTTAGTTTTCTACTTTTTTAAATAAAAGATTTAGATGCTCATTCTCCTTTATTTAGAATTGTGAATTATTTCATTTTATATTTTATGTTTGTTCCATTAACTTTGATGACTGAAAAGGACTAGAAGAACAAAGAACAAAATGCCCAAGAAATGCACAATTCAGCTGCTAAGAAGTAATTTTAAATGTTAACTTTTTATTAAAGTCACAGATATAAATATCAAGCTTTACTGACAGGAAGTTAATTTACATGCCCTCTTTGAGCACGTACCTGTTTATACTACATCTGCTAATTTCATTCTCTCAGAGAACAATAAGAGATTCACTGAAGGCTGCATTTAAATGGGCACTGATATTTAAGGCTTACATGCAGTCAAGCTCAGTCTGCTGACAGCAAAACCCAATACCTGTGTAACAGATAAAATGAAAGTTCAACAATATAAATTTAACTTTCAGTGTATGCTCACCTCTGGCTGCTTTTACATTAAATCTCAACCTTCGTAATGATTCTTCAGTATCAAAATTGCACTTAACCAGTTCATACAATGCCTGGAAAGATGAAAAGACATACATTTAACATTCTGGATAGCACCCAATTTATGTTGTGCCACAGAAGCATACTTAGTAAATCACTAATACCTATTAAGAAAAGATTAAAAATAAACTCTTTGAATGAATGTAATATAATTCAAGACAGTACAAAGACGTATTTCCTCTGTTTAAGTTTCCAAATCTCTAATTACATAACCAAGTATATACCCAGGTAAAGTATTTTAACATTTTCATCCATGGCATACATTTGTAAATTAATGGGGTTTTTTGTATGAAGAAAAAAAAAGTATGCATTCATATAGCTTTAAAAAAATCTGTAACTGAAAGAACAGAACTCATTCATTCAAAGAATTTATATACAAAATAATGCACTGATACATCAAGCAATGTTAAGCCTAAGTTAACAGTTTAGTATTTGTTGAGAGGAAAAAAACCCATCACATTTCTATTTCCACAAAGAATAATAAAGCTGTTTCAAAAGCAATTTTAATTCTTGGGAGTAAAATAAAATAAAATAAAGGGATAATTAATTCTGCAGTATTAAACTACAAATCCTAATTATTCTTATATACCTGCTCATTGTCTTTAATATGTGATCCTTCAGGAATTGCATCTAGGCCTTTCTCATCACCCGTACGCCTTGATGCTTCATTTAGGAACTCGATCACTTTATCTTCTGATAAGAAGTCAGGATTCCACAGCAGCTGGTCATCATTTTCATACACTGAATTAACCACAGGAAAAAGAAAAACAAACTAAAACAACAATACAGAAGTTTATTCTCTCTTATAAAGCTAGTGATTATGAAACCTTGGAAGATCATTAGAGCACCAACATTAATCCAGAACACACACAGGGACAGGTAAAAGATAGTCTCACAAATGCAGTGATCCAAATGACTAGGATACTATTCCTTATATTGTCCTCAAATCTCTGGCATAATCAGTGCTCTAGATTCTAGGACCCATTTATGAAACTCCAGAAACTCCACCTTCCCCGTCCTCCTCCTGAAGCCACTCGAATCACGAGGCAGCAGAAGTACCCGACACAGTCCCTGAACGATCCATCCAGCATGCCTTTTCCCTAAGCTGCACCATTTTGCTGATGGCAGCCAGCAGACATGGAAAACTATTTCAGAAACTAATTATATCTGTCTTCTTGCAAGACAATTAGGATCAGTCACAAAAAAACAAAAAGTGCACCACCAAAAATGGTGCTAAAAACACTACCACGTGTCTGGACCACTAAATGTGTCTCAGCTAACATGGCTGGCAAAAGCCACAACAAGGTCCACTACTTCTCCAGGGAAAATGACACCCAGATGCCAGACATTCTGAAGTCAAACAGCTCCTGAAAGGAAACTTTGCTAAGACCTTCCTACTACTTCCAAGAAATACCTTCTAAAACAAAATCATTCAGGTAAAGATCGATGAATTTTAATACTACCAAATCTCCACTGTTTTTTTCAGAGCTCTTGCATGAGCTTTCAGACCAGGGAAGCCATAGTAAACGGAAATTAATGGGAGGAACATGGCCAAAAGATATATCCTCTGAGTTACCTCCCATTTTTATTTTGAAGAACCCACAAGTTTTACACATTTAAAATACCAGTACAGTAAAATAAAGTAAAATTCAGGTTATTAAAAAACAGAATCAGGAAAGTATCCAGACCTTGCTTGTGTCTCAGTCCTCAGTGAAAGATAACCTTACAAAAACCAGCAAGAAAGTAATTTTAACATTGATTCCATTAGCTCGGTGAGCACCTTTCACTCTTACTCAACAAGACAAAGAAGGAGAGAACACTTGGGAAAGCATGGTCAGCACAGGAAGGGAAGATACAGTAGCATACTGTGCAGGTGGAAAGGTCAGAGTGGCAGCTAGGTACATCTACACTTGAAAAAAATTATTTTCAACATGAAAGTAGACTACAAATAAAAAAACAAAACTGGTAAGGAAAATTAAGTGTCTTGCAAAGAAAGACAGCTCCATTTTACGAACAACATACTCTTTGGAAACAGTTCCCAACAATTTTCGATCAGCTTTTTTTTTTTCCAAAAGCTAGTCCTAATCTGATGTTTGGTTGCTCATTTAAGAAAAAGATTCTAGGTATCTTGGCATACAAACTCCAGCAGAAGCAACAATTCTTTTCAGGAGATAACTGATAATTGGTTCTAAGCCACCCTTAATGATGCAAGCTAAGTACACTGCAATGTTTATGAATGACAGCGGCCAGTAAGTCTCAAAGCAGCTTCAGCACCTTTCAGTTTTCAGAGCTATCCTTTGATTTTCAAGTCCAAGCCTTCTGAAAACATAACTTTTAATTTTGTAGATTTTTCATAACCTGAAATTGTTTAGTAGTAACTAATTTGGTCTCCAGGCATACTTCTCAGAGAGCCAGTCCACTGTAATTAGCTTATTGTAGATTACATGGTCGTTTTTTCCTCACAACAGCATGTCAGAACACATTCTGAAAAGCAATATGGTTATTCTTAAAAGTTCTAGCATTTTTGTGCTTTTGCTTATGGGACTGGATATGAAAGCACTAGCCTTCTTAGTGTTTAGGAATTTTACAATTAGAATTTCCCCTTCATTAGAGAACAACTAAGATGATGGGATATGTACATGAAAGTAGTAAATACATAGTCTCAGGCATCTATTTTTCAACTTTTTAAGCTTCATTAATATTTCAGTTGGAGTCCTGTCAAAGATTACATCCAAAACACAGCAGAAGGGAAAGAAGTGGCAGAAGATATAAAGCCCCACTGGTACATAAAACTAGAACAGCCCTAACTTTTCCCCTCAGTGGTTTTTGCCCATGATGTAGGTTCTCTGTTCTGCAAAGAGTAGTGTGCAAGACTATGAAAAACTGTTTTATACAGGTTACTGCAATGCACAAAGCAGCTATATCTTTTTTATTACTGGAGGCCAGAAGCCATTTAGAGCTGAGTAAATACCAGGAAAAGCAGGTGACTGACCAGTAAAGCATCATTTACTGCATCTCAGGCAAATACATAGTTCAAGCTCTATTTTCAGATAGAAGCAGGAAAGCATGCAAAGAACAACTTCTTCACAGCTAAAAACCAGATGTTTTCTAATTTGCCATTTTCTATTTTTAATGGAAGCTCCTGACTTCTCACATAGTTTTAAATTACATTCTCTTCAACCTCTCTGGCTCCAGAGTCCAGAGCTGACAGAATGTGTCAGTTTCAGTGTGAGCCTGCTCTAAGTCAATAGCAGGACTGATGCTCTTTCTAGACAGTTTCTAGCTAGATCAGGCTACAGCGTAGCTACCGCAACCTGGAGCTTGAAGCAAGACAACTGCTACTACTGGAGCGTATACTCAGATTCCAGGAAGGCACCGAGTTTTGCGCTGGTTAGTTTAAAAACTAAGTTATATAAAACTACAAAAGCCACAGTCTCAAACTGACCTGCAGTGTAAATAAATTCTTAGTAATAGGCTGAATGAGCAGGAAAATTTGCTTCTTTTAAGCTCACAGCTGGGTTTTAACTGGGTCTACCTTTCCTGACTTGATTATATTGACAGCATATAGCCAAAGGCTCTGGTTGTGAGGGAGGAAAAAGTTCCTGGAAAAAAATTCAAAAGTAGAACAAGAGGTTCTTTAATACTGATTGAAGAGTTATAAAATGTGAAAATCAAAGCTGCTGGTACCATTTTGCCTCTTTTAACGTGTTAATCCAATTCCAGCAACACAATTTCTTTATTATCTATTTTGTTTTACATAAACTAAATATACTAGGTGAAGAGGTCAACATAAGCTACATAGAAAGCTTGTGTATGTTACCAAATTAGAATACAAGGGTTCAATCGGCAATAGGCCAGCAATATAATCTCAAGACTCAAGATCTGATGGTGAAGTACAGGATGAACTATAGTTTGAGACGATGGTTCTATTTTTCACTTGAAGGAGCTCTTTTATTTTGCAAGATACATGACATCAATCAAATCTTTTATTTCTCCCCATTAGAAAATAATCTCAAACATAGTGATAATGGTAATAGTGCTAAGTCTCACCTTTTTCATTCTCTTTGTATTTGCATATGCCAGCTGGAATTTCGGCTTGAAACATAGAGCCCACCATGATTTCCTGTTTTGAAATAACAGAAACAGAAGTTAAGCAACCACAGCTGTGATGTTTTTTGTCAGCAAACAAGAGAATGACCACATCTTTTTCTACCCCTTAAAACTTTCATTGCTCAGAATCTAAAACTACAGTTAACAGGCACTATATGGAAATGTATTTTTGACAATTTGGGGAGGTCTAACGCTTCTTACTATCAAAACCCTTACATTTATGGGGAAAAACTGGAGAGGATTTGGGTGATTTATAGAGCTCAGAGTTACTAGGAAACAGATCAACCCATTATTCATGAAACACAGACTTTTTTAACAGCCTTTAATATTTACCTTTTTCCAGTCTTCTGAGGGAATATAATCTTCATCTTCTTCAGATTCCTCTTCTATTTCACTATCTACAAGAAATTATTCAAACAGTTACACAAAATGAGCTGTGATGGGGCCCGTGCATGCCAACACCAGCCTCCAGCAAAGCGGGCTGAGCGAGAGGGGACCTGGGACGTCACAGGCAGCTCCTGGGAGCACCGCAGCAAGGGTTGATGGGGGCACGTGAGCCCAGCCTCTCATCCCACCAGCCTCCAGGTGCACAGCAGCCCTGCTCTGCCTCACTGCCATCTTATCTAATACCACACAAACACAAATGGCAGTTTTAGTGACAATACTAAATGTTTCAGTATTGACAACTTTAAAAAATGACCCACCCAAAGTTCACATTTAGAATGGATTAAGATACACAACAGGCTCTGAAATGTTAAAGCGCAAATGAATACATCCATCAATTTTACTACTACTACTACTACTACTACCTAATTAAAATCTGCTTTCCCTCACCCAAGCTTTGAAGCAGTTGAGATGATCCACATCCAAATTTACTACAAACTGTTACTTTCTGAAAGTATTTTTATGTGGATGTTCAGCATCCACATGTGGGTTTCAACACCATTTTCAATGAGCTCCTAGCTTAGTTACTGCTGTTCTTTTTCCCTTACAGCAGCTGTCACTGAATTTAAGGTAGACTACAGCACAAGGTGCAAGAAATCTGCTTTTCTCAGTCTTACTGGGATTTAGTAGGCTTGGATGTACTGCTCGGAGATGCACAGCAGCACTTAAAGTAGATTATTTTGGATAAGGACTGACAAAAATTTTAAGCTCTTTATGATATAGGCTAGTTGCCTTTCACAATATACTGAAAGCAACTGAAATATCTGGTTTATGTGTAGCATGTGACAATATCAGCACCAAAATTATTTGTACATTAAATTACATTCTATACACAGCTGAACATTGTAAAAAAACCCAAAACCTAATGCAATCCACTTGCATTATGCTAATGCTACTGCTATGTTTAAAAAATAGAGTTCATTTAAGATACTTGCAATCCTCTGCACAGCTACATGCTGAAGTTCCTTGGCATTTTTGGATTAAAATAAACTACAGATTAGAAAATGGCATTTCTACAATGTCATGGTTAATAAGTATCAAGTATAAGGTATCATAAGGAACCTTTGCTTTAACTTTTGTTTATTAAAACACAGAACAGTAGGAATTCAAACATCAGCGACAGTCACTTCCCTCAAAAAAAGGTAAAATATCTGTTGTCCAAATGGCCCTGCTGATAGCTCAATACTAAAAGGTTCAGATCCCCTTAGGTAAGATTGCCACAGAAATGAGAGCTGTCTAAAGGGACAGCCATGTAACACTAGCTCAACAGTCTCAAATGGATGCAAAACCAATTTTTAAACAAAAAAAGAGAGAAAATAATCAGTCCACATTGATGCTGGCAACAGTATCAAATGTGGAATTCTTGAAGCAAATTTTCTTCATCATTATCTCCCCCTTCATTATTTCAGGTTTAACAATCTATTGGCCTTTTTCAGATTTCATTGCTTTTGTTTTCTGTATTAGTGATCTTGAAGAAATCTGGGGTTCTACTTCCAGTAAATTTCAGTTTTTACTTTTTCCTTTAGTTGGATGCTCACCTTCTTTGAATGAATACATAAACTGGTGTCACCAGGCCTTGTCGTGACAATCACGCACTGTGCAACAATTATCTAGTTGGAACAGTTCATTTCCTACTTACAAATATTTTACACATGTCCTTAGTATGAGCTGGCAGCTGAAACTACGATGGTAAGGTAATACCATACTAAATAGTTATTTACCGCACCTGGACTCCACGTACAAGAAAATTTTTCTGAAGGGCACATCCATACAAGCCAGTTTGCAGGATCATAAACTGGACTGTTACAACACTCAGAGTGGTGTCATAAAAGGATTTACACTGTCTGAAAGCCTGCTTTTTCAAAACTGTAGAAATACAAATTTTTCTACAAATTCAATCCTTTCTTTTAAGAAGAAAGAATATCTACTGTCCTTATACAGAGTGCCTTATCTGCAGAGAAGATTTAGCATTCAGCTAAAATCAGGACTTTTTTGTTGACTATTATTTTGAGCATAAGGATAATAGAGAGCAGTGTTATGAAAGAGAACAAACAAATGTTTATAGGTATCAACATGCATATTTCAGAAACAGAATATGATGTTAACTGGAACTGTTTTATCCAAAGGTCAATCATACTGAGATTACTGTGCTTAGTACTAAACTGTACATACTTGTATCAAAATATTTACATCGACGAGGGCGAATTATCTCCTGTGGATCTTGAGAAGCAACAGATGGTGCTGGGTCGTCATTAGATGACTGTGTCTCATCTTCCTGACCTGACGAATCTTTTATGGTCTCCTCCTTAAATATAAAAAAGCAAACAGGAGATCAGCTATCCCTTGTATGTGACAAACACTATTTTGGCAACATTTTTTCCAAAATTGTCAATATATCAAACTCAAATATCTTTTAACTGACTTGAAGTGACTGTATAGATTGTGGCCTGTCCAGACTGAGCCTCAACAAATGTGTAAACACATCATATTATTTATTGACCAGGATTTTAAGCAGATCAATTTAACACTCAGACTCTAACATACAAATCAGAAATATGAATCACAATTAAATATCACGCCTAGTTTTTTAAATCAGTCAAGCAAATCCTTGCAGTTTTCATTTAACTTCATTTAACTTTAAATTTTACCTTGGTCTTTAAAACCCTTCCTTATGAATTTTCAATAAAAAGGGGGGGAATTATTTACTGGCTATACTTTTCTCCATCAAATGGTAATAGTACCTTCCATAAAAATTAATGTCAATAGTGTGGTTCAACCCCACAGGAACAGTGTATCAGTAGACTCGAGTATGTACACTGAGTCATTAAAAGATCAAAAATTAGAACAAGTCTCTTTCTTAGAAGATAAACCACAACTATGGGAATTATTACAATTAAGGAAAATTAAAATGATAAAGGTAAAAAAAAAAGTATTAGTGTTTTCTATTTCAATGCATGTTGTCAATATCTTTTATGACTATGTTGTAAGCACTCATACTTGCTAGTTCCGACACAGCACATAGCATTAGGCACAGCACATGTGTACCTTTACCAGCAACCAGAGTATTATCACATGTGCAGCTTAAAGCAGATTAAAAATAGAAAATAGCTAAGTGCAGTACAGCTAAATAAGCTGTAGAAAGATGAGCACTTGCAGAAAAAGCTTGAATGATTTATAAAATTATTCCACCCCCACAGATGTATTTTACTGCTTCTCTGCTAAGAGCACGCAAGCATTTCAGAGCTCTCATTCTTGTACCCTGAGGCAAACAATCATAACAGGTTAGCTAGCTCTCTTTGTGCCCAGTCCTCCCCACCACCTTTGTTCCAACCCTATCAAAACTGGGGTAGAATAGGTGAACGCATACATTCAATTCAGCCACAGTGCCAAGTCTGCAATTAGGCTAACCCATTGGCTGTGTTTACGGTGCCAGACTGTGAACGTTGCTCCTGATGGGCAGGAATGCACTTGCTTCTGCAGCATGCTACAAAGTGTTAATGTCCTACAGAGGGACAAAGATGACTCCTCTTGCTGCTGACAGCGGTGACAGACACTGAGATTTTATCCATTTAAGAGAAAAGATAGGCAGTATCTTAAATCAGCTAGTAACAGAACTGAAGAACTACAGAGGAGGTCATGAGAACACAGAAGATGGAAGCTGTGTCAGGAAGTAATTAAGAAGCAAGGACACAAGAAGAAAGTGAGACTTCAGGAACACCACCATGCACAACAAAATAAACCACTTTTGTGTCTTAGTTTTGCATACTTCATGTTACGTAAGTTTCTCCCCCTCTCCAACTTCTTGAACCTTTTTGGATGTAATATAACTATGTATCTTTCTGGTTTTTGAACTATTCAACCCATACAAATAGCAATCTTTTATAACATCTATCAAGGGAGTTTGTAAATCCTAAGAACTTCATCACATATCAGATCAGAACTGAATCAGATATATTATTCCTCATCTCTGTGCCGCATTCCAGAGATTCTAAAATGGGTAAGATATCAAAGAACAAAGCGCACCCTTTTTAAAGCCAGATTAGGTAATGCAACTTCCATTAATGCCTAAGCTTTTTTGTTACTGACAATACAAAGGGTTTCATATTTTAATGGAATTCAGGATGCAACTCTGAATGCCACCAGTAATGGAGAAGTTACAGCTGTGCCCATGACAGGACAGGATTGTTACAAATACGTATGACATACACAAGTAGAAAAGACTCTTCTAAAATCAGAAAATTTATTTTAAGAGCACACAGAACAGGATTTTAAAGATGCTAAGTTCAAAACTATACATTTAGCAAAGATATTTGAAGCATTAGATTCAGTTAACAATTTAAGTACAACCAGGGCTGCCAGCCTGAAAAAATACAAATTAAAATGCTAAAGCTAGAAAACTTGCAGCCATCTCTGATACTCAGAGACACATTTAATTCAATTCCACAATTCACTGTTCAGTTTCAGTAGATCAGCTTTTCGTCTTGAAAAAAGTATTAAGCCATATCTATAAAGGTGCCTTCAGGCATTTAAAACTTCAGTTTTGAAGTCAGACTATTTCTGAAGGACAATTACAATCCATTCTTAAATAATGCTATACGTATACATGTACCTTAATTTGCTGCAGCAACAGTTTGGAATTATACAGATGAAATTAAGAGCAATGAAGAGAAATACAGATGGGTAATTAAGAATAAACATTAGAGTTCAGTACACAAAGCATCTGAAACCAACTATATTATCAATTACTTCTGCCATGATCTGGCATCTTGAGTGGTTGTCTAGTACAGAATGGCTGTATGAAGATCAGTTTCAAATTAGGGTAAACACTTACTTTGTTTTCACCACTACAGCCACTGTTGTCATCATTATCAACATCATCATCATCTTCTCCCTCCTCCTCCTCTTCTTCTTCATCTTCATCATCGTCATCTTCTTGGAGTGGAATGGTACCATCATAGCCATAACGGCTAAGTAGCTCCTGGATTGGCATATCACTTTCCTGATAAACATCCAAACAAAGTTTGAGATTTTAACAAAAATATTTCACATCCCACATCTGCTCTACAGCTTAAAGGTGTGCATTTTAAACGTAACAGCAAAAACAGATAGATGATGATCAGGTATACTAACAAGGGCCACTTCAAAATGAATGGACAGTCAAAAATAGAAGTTTCGGCTCATAAGAAAAATGTGGGGTTTTATGCAGCGGAACTATTTCCTAATCCTTTATAAATTTACAGCAGACCTCGCATACCACCAATCTCTCAAAGGGGCCGTAAAGCTCATTAAAAGGGCACCAAAGGGCTGTATGCCCCAGCCCTCCCTTGGTATTTGTCTACTGCTACTTGACCAAAACACGAGCACTGCGATGAGGCAGGTTACGTCTGGTTACATCATACCCCTTCAGTACACAGAGTGAACACACTCCTTATTGGAATACATATTGGTATTCCCATTACTGCCCAGAAACTACCCGAAAAAATTGTAGTATTTTGTACGTATTTGTGGAAAAAACAGAAAATGTGTGTCAGCAGCAACTGATTCACACAGACAGCTAAGATATTGACAGTTTTTGCAGGCAGGAACTTGTCCTAGTGCAAGGCAGTGATTTTTGCAATGTCTTCAAGAATTCAGCAGAATAAGGACCAGAACTTGAAGTATCTGGCTTGAACATGGAGTTTAATCTTCATTTGGGGAGTTGCACTACAGGGACAGTTCTACACAGTTCTGCAACCCTGGCTTTGAATACAAAATTACACCAAAAACACACCTCTCCATCTCTCTGTGCCTCTCCCCTTTCTGGGCAAAACAAAAAATGAGGGGTTGGATGGGGGTGAGGGATCACCTTATATTCAGGATCACCTGATATCCAGGTAAAGACAGCAGTAATGTTTACAGATCCATATACATTTTAAGCTAGTTGTCTACAAAACCATCCACAGTTGGAAGCAAATCTGCTAAAACATGCGCACATTTAAAAATCTTTATATTTAGAATGCTGATCCACCCTGAAGAGACATTTCAAATGATACAGTCGGCTCTCGAATTTAGTGGCTGCCAAACTGTTATCAATTACATTCACTTTATTAATTAAAATTATTAATTGCCAGGTCTGCAAATTACTTACTTTATTACTTTTAATACCTCAGTATTGAGCCTTCGGGGCAGTATATGGCATCCCTAATGAGATTTTTCAGAGCAGAAACTTTCAGAGAGCATTTTAAAATTATCTCTCTCACAAGAACAAATCCGTTGTTTATTATTTAGAGGTGTCTGCCTGCTCTAAATATTTCTTCTTAGTATGTAATTCTCAGCTGATAATCAGATTTTTTTAGTTATCAGCTGACCTTAAGACTTCCTCCGATGAACTCCTTTCCTAAGGGCCTTCACTGATCAACACACCTCTAGTTTCTGGAAATATACTAACAATACCAATTACAAAAGGCAAGTGTAGTTAGTTCTGCTGTGTAAAAATAAGAGTAACACAGGGGCTACCAGTACTTGTTGTCTGTGTATTTTATTTTATTTTACTTCAAAGAACTAAGCCATTCTACCACTTACTGGTCTACTCTTTGGTTAAGCTATATACACAGCAGATGCAGACCATGTGGACCTAAATGTCCTCACCTTCCCTCTTGACTTCTTGGTCCCTATCGTATCATTTTATGGAAAGAACTCTTAGAAGTGGGTAATTAATAGTTTACTGAGACAGACAACATGACAGGACTGTGATCTTAATTAAAACCTGACAGTACAGCTATCAGAAAAATCCTATTCGTAATTATCCAAACAAATGTTCTCCAGTACATTTTGGAAAGTAATATACTTCCATTAAGCACTCCTCACCACTATCCCATTTGTAGATACAGACTGAGAATTAAAAAGAACTTTTACTACAATTCGTAGGTATGTGTGAACAATGTAACAGGCATATTACTATATATTACCTAGGAAAGCGGTATTGTATCTACAACATTTTTCTTAGGTAGAGCCTCTTAACTTCAAATAGTCCATTACAATTCAAAAAGCCCCAAGGGTCAGCAACTCTCCAAGATAAAATACAAATCAAGATTTCTGTATTGTTTCAGGATATTGCAAAAATAGGAAAGGTTAAAAAAGTAACAAGCCTTAACAAAGACACAGAAATTTCTTATGTGGAAGATGTTTAATAACAAGAAATGAATTAAAACTCATGCGTCTGGAGTAGAGGTTAAGTGAGGAGGAGTGATGTAACAGAGAATTGTATCACAAGCAGCACAGAGAAGGTAAATATAAATGACTGTACACTTTTCTAATTGAAGAGCTCAGGGACAACCACTGAAATGAACACAGAATAGGTCTGAAAACCCAAACATATTTCTCACACTAAATGAACTACGCAACATTGCCATATGCCTCGTGGACACTAAGTTTACAGAGGTCAAAAATAAAACGGACAAATCCACAGGAGGAGGAAAAATAAGACTGACAGGCATTACAAAGAGACAACATCTTTTTCATATGTGCCTGAACTGCACCCTGCTAGAGGCTGGAAGAGTATTTGGGAGAAACACTGCATGTTTCCATGTATGGTTCTCTCATTTAAAGACAAGAAGATGCTGGTGCATAACCCTAAGAAAACCCAAGAGCCCTCCCTGAAAAGGGGGACCCCAAAAAGACAAACCAAGTGATTATATAGAACAACAAATGGAAAAAAGAATGGAGTCAAAAGCTTAAAAATCTGGAAGTAACGCAGGGAGGCACCACACACAGCACCCTGGCAATGCTCACCACTTCCTAGAGGCACCCAGGAAGCCTGCACACGCCACCCAATAGTGCTCTGCCCACAGACAGGGCAGCACACAAAGGTAAAGAACTTGGCCTCACACTCGTCAAATCCTCCATGTCACATTCCCTCCAGCTGATGCTTTGTACAGTCAGCTTAGCTAAGAGTAGGAGGAAATTGAGTCTCTGCAACTTGCTTGGGCATGGTCATTTATTATTTCCAAGACAGAACGTGAATGCAGTTTCCTACTACCAAAATTATGCTGCCAAGTTTCCTGCGTTTTGGAAAACTGCAGCGTCAGCATATGCCCAGGACGCTAAGAGATGTGCCTCATCCCAGGCACACCTTCCTGAGCACTCCCTCTTGGGCTGCTGAATAAGGAATACTGGTTAGCCAGGACTTTGGCCGTATCTGGTATAGATGCTCCTACGTACAAAAAGAGTATTCCTGAATTCATGTCTGGATATGATCAAGGATAGTCTGCTGTAGCACCTCACAGATAGCTTTCCTGCCCAAGAAAAACTCTTACCTTTCAAGAAATATCACTGAGAACTACCAAATCTAATACTTCTTATTCCCTTCAGGTACTGCTCTGCTCTCAGGGAACTGTATTTTTTCCTATACTAGAGCAGCATAGAGGGTGACTTCAGGTCTCTAGATGCAGATACGTTACTGCCATTTAGACAAAAACGTATACGCGTACTTGCACAGACAAATGCAGGATGCTGCTCAACCTCAAGTACTAACGCATTACAGATTCACCAGAGTTTCAACCAATGAGTAGAAAAGATCCTAGATCCTTACCCTCAGAGGAATGTGTAATTTTTATGACAGTCAGGAGCGAAACCATTAAGGTTCAAAAATGCTTTTGCAAATCCCGACTGCCACCTCATCTCTGAAGGAGCTGAACTAGTAAATCAGGCACATTCGCAGCCTGGGGGAAATCTAAAATATATGTGTAAATGTCGGGGGAAAGAAAAAGACAGGGTAGCACTTGTCTTGACCACAGTTTTGAGATTTAGATTGTCTATCATCCATGACTAAAAAAACCAGACATAAAAGTAAGCCTTGATGTGCGGCCTGCTATCCCACAACTAGAAGTAACCATAGGTCTCTAAAAAGATCCTGCTGGCATGGAAGCATCTGAAACTCAGTAAAAGCCCTACTGTAAGATTCTCTACCAGTCTGTAAAAGCATTCTGCAGAGAAGAGTAGCCCACGGAGCAATGTGAATCTAAGTGATACCACTGCTCACCATCCTGATCACAAAAGAGCTGACACATGGAGAAATTATAAACTTGCAGCCCCGACAACCGAGATATGAGGGAATAAACTGATGGCTGAAATACAGTTATAAACGAAGCATTGTAATGTGGTGATAGATTTACACAACCAGATGTTGACTCTTCACAAAATATGAGGGGAAAAAAACATATTTTCAACTTAAAAACCACATGACATACATGTGGAGCTCCATTTCTCATTTAATCTAGATGAAGCATAATTAGATTCACAAACTAACTATTTATCTTTATGTTTACCATTTAATATCAAACCTGAAATTACCAGAAAGAAGTTATCATTTACACCCGAAATGTAGTTTAAATGCATTAAATTAATTTAAAGTCACATTGGCATAAACTTATATTAAATAGGATTTGCGCATCGACTATGCATCCGAGAATCGTTAATGATCTGTTCTGGAAGCCTTTTCAGCCAATGAGGCCACAGACAGTATCTAAATTACTCTGCGTTTATAATCAACCTAGTTTGTAATTTAAGAATATTATTCCTGCCCGAGAAGTAATTTAAGACAATACATAAGTGACAGCATAACCTCAAAATGCCAAATAAATCTTATATGCAATTATTTCAGAAGATACAAATTTTAAGATTTATTTATCACTATTAACAATAATTGTGAGTTCTGATCCCAGCTCTGCTGACAACTTTGCTTTGAGCCAATCATTTCATCTGCATGTTTCCTCTACCTTAAAAATGAAGATACTCCTATATGCTCCAAGTATTATACAAGTGTTTGTATAAAAATGCAAAAGAAATATAAAATTATGGGATTTTTTTAAAAAAATCAAAATCTATATGCACTAATCAAGTGCAAGTGCTTTAGAAAAACACTGGAATATAGAAGTTTAGTCAGAGCATACTGTAACTTATATTAGCTATAAAATGAAAATCCAATACCAGCACATATATGCAAAAAGAAACTAAACAAGCACAGCGTTATACATTATTAAGTGTTTATGCACCAGTTTCCTTTTCCCAACTTTTGAGAACTGCAAATTTAGCTCAGCCCCTTTCCCCTGTCTATATTATTTGTCTATTAGTGTTTTAGGGGTGGTTTTTTTAAAATTCGAAATATAAGGGAAAAAACCTGCATATGTTTTGTGTGAGACTGTGGGCTGTGGTTATGTTTTATGACTACTTAAGGCTACCTACCCTGTTAAGATCCTCTATTTCAGAACTGAAGTTTGTTTCTCCTTCCATCATTTCCTCCTCTTCTAATGTCCGTTCATCATCAAAGTCATGCACCAGCATATCAGCTGATGGATCAAATTCATGGTCATCAGATGTTGCTGAACCTCCTGATAGAAAACATTTTAAAGTTTTTAGTTAGATCATGGCCTCACAGAGTTTAATTTTTTATTTTGGTGACATTTTAATACTCAAATTATACTGAGAAATTAAAATATCTTCAAAATCCCTCAATTATTTATCTTAGGGAAAGCCAATCTCATTATTCAGAGGACAGTGAAAGCTGTCCTTTGGGTGGTAAGAGATCATGAAAAAAAGAACCAGGAGATACTGTTTAACCAGCCAGTTCTCAAAGTACTATATATCTAGACATCGGGCCCCTAGTTAAACGTTTGTAAAATGTTCAGTTTTTGAAGACTTAATTCCTAAATAATCATAAACCTGCCTGAATCAAGAGTTCTACTGGGAGCAGAAATAGTCATAAAATATAAACTCAGGGCAGTTGTTTCCTTGATACTTTGCAAGCTTTCTTGTTTATAACTACAAAGACAGTCTAATGACTTTTCCAAAATTTAAACTTAAAGTAAGCTTCACAGTTATGCAGATTTTATTTACGATGCAGAATCCTTAGTTATTTTTCCCCATGCAGTTTTTTCACAGTTCTTTGTAAAGAAGTCTGGTTATATTTTATGACAATGAAAAATAAATGAATGGATGAATGGTTTGGCAGATGCAGCATTTTTATGTAATTCAGCAATACCTGATTTCTAATTCCAACCCGGCTAACATTTTTCCGCTTGTCTCTGTGGACAATTTAAATTTCATTTTCCAAAGCTTGAAGAGTGTACCCACGCTAAGGGTGCAAGAGGGAGGGGTTGACTGTAAGGGTTAACTATACTTTGTAGTTTGAAGTGTTAAAGCAATTGATTGATTCTCTGAAAGAAATAAGAGCTCAAGAGACAACAGCAGTCCAGCTAAACTAACTACTGGAAAGCTTTTCCATTAGTAGGATGCCAAAACCCTTCGAAATAAGTAACACTAAGTACAGTGGTACCAAAGTGAACAAAAAAACCGCAGATATTCATAGTTTACACTTAGGCTGACTACTCGATAGCCGGTAGCTCTGGGATACTGGAATACCTGAAAATAACCAGCTTTAAAAACAGAAGTCATGAAACCCCTCATTTTTAGTAATCCAATGAGGTAAAAAAATACTGCTTTTCTTGCTGCTTTTGTTCTTGATGTATTATGCATACAAAACATAGAGCAACCATGTATCTATTAATTGAGAGCGCACAGTGCCTTAACTTTTGACTCTGTATTTAACTCTAAAACCAATGGGTAGCCGTGCCTAGAGGGATGGTAATCGTATTGCTGGGTAAAGCAGTCTCTTCCATGCCCTCAGCACTCGCTCACATTGTGCTCCTTAGGACGTCAGCATTCCCAAACACGTGTTCGTGCAGCTTTTGCAATGACAAGAATCATATTTCCCCAGTGTATTTTACCATTTAGAAACTTGTGCCGGTACAGACTGGAAGAAAGCAGTGAGTACTTAAACCAGTACTGCCACCAATCTATTAATCAAATTATATCCTTAGATTACTAACTGGAAGAGACCAGCAAAAATAATTTTTCACTCTTCCCTCACAAGTTTAGGATATATTAAAAATATTTACCTGGGCTTGAAGATTCAACAGAAGGCTAAAAAAGAAAACACAGGAAATTATTTTTTCTATGTACACAAACCTGTACAAACATCTGATACAAAGCAAGTCACTGCAAATAATATATTTACAAATAAAGCATCACAAACACGCTGAAGCAATTTAAGGTAAAAAGTATTCATTTTCCTTTACGTATCAATATTGCTGCACTATTTCAGCAGGAATAATTGCAAGAACTGCCCATTTTGTGATGCAATAATTGAGCTGATGAAGGTATAAAATAAAGCAAAACAATTCATTCTGAAAATAGTATTACAATTCCACAATCAGCTTAGTATGGCATAAATTGGTGCTACTGCCAGATGGGACAATGCTACTTTCTCTCCATCTCTATCTGCTCATTTCCAATTCTTCCCTTATGCCGATACAAAACTGAAAACTAACAGTAGTGATAGGTTAGTTTTTAACAGATCCAGCTCTGATTTAACTCCATGTACTAAATCCCCTTTCCCACAACCAAGGTATATGCCAGATTACATTGACAGTGGAAGCACTGTTTAAGACAAATTATACTATTTGAAACTGCATGCTATGCAATACACAAATTCCCTGTTCTATTTCACGTACACACTTTTAAAAGGTAATCACAAATCACAATGAGAATTCCTCATAGAACAAAAGGAAAAAGCAATTTAATCTTAATCTCTAACCCAGCTGTGAGGAAAAAAAAACCCAAACCAACAAAAACTATTTTGCAAGCCAGACTTTCTTCCCAAGTCTGTTTATAACAACAAATTAATATAATCACAGACTACAAAACAAATATATTTTTTGAAATACAGAAAAAAAAAATGAGACTTCCACAACAATCTTTATGTAACAAAGACATCCTTTGGCCTACCATATTTGGAAACCCTACATTTATAATCAGAACAAACGTCTTCTTTCATAAAATTCTGCCTTCTCTTGCTTATAACTTTGCCAGTCTTTAACTTCCTGGGATGAAATTTGCATGTCAGACATGCAAACCTCATTTGTTTTGAAAATTCAAGCAAATGTTTCAACTATTTTCAGGAACAGACCTAATGAAGTGTTTTTTTCAAAGTTAGGAGGACTGACTTTTTACTTCAGAGAGCTGCAGTATCCCTTTCCCTGCCACCTTCTGGAAACCGAGATATTGTTTGGTATCATGGATATTGTTGTATTACGTAATATCCAATGCTGTCTTCATGAAAAACTGCCTGCATTTGCCCAAGAAATAATTTGGAAAACTTCAATTTGCACATTCACAATAGATACCTGTGTGTACGTGTAATATTATATCTAGATTGTACTCCTACTAGAATTGTAAAATCTGTACACCCAGAATTATATGCAAAATTAAAACAAGATACTATGTTAGAAACTGGTAAATTTAAACTCAAGTGAAAACTTGTACTATTATTCAAAGATTTTCTAAAGCATTTTCCTTCTCCTTGACTTCATCTCATAAGGCTAAGCAGTCACTTGCACAAGCCACTTCCACCCAAAACACCTGGCCTAGCTAGGTAGTGAATATTATTGTAATATGTGTAATTATAAAGTTCTTTTATATTAGCAGCTCTTCAAAGTGAGAAGAAATACACCTTCTTAGGAATCAATGACCAAAATTCACTTACATGTCTGCCTATATTTTATGAGAGTCTACAATGTACAAATGAAAACTCAAAATATATTTGCCTGTGTCAAGCAGAAAGCAGTATACGGAGGTAAAAGCACATCTTGAATATTTGCCTGAAGGGTGGACAGAAGATAGAATAGACAAGAAGTTTTGCTTCCCTAACATTGTACAGCCTAAAGAAATATAGAATATATACACTGTCTTCAGGCAGAGACACTACAGTCTGTTTTTCCTCATACTTACTAACATCCAAATACGTTTTTAGTTTATGTGCAGTATCACTGCTGACTTGCAAGAAACAGCTTTTTAGGCAGTATTAGCATTAAAAGGCAGCACTGCACAAAAAAGCCAAGAGAAATCATATCTGCACAGTTAAGTAGACTGAAACTCATGTTAAGCACTAAAAACATTTTTGCAAAATGTTGCACAATGCCATAGGAAGTTTCGCTAATGACTACAGTTTAAAAATCTTACTCTGCAAAGATTATCTTTAAAAATTCCAGTGTACAGTATTACTAACATACACTGAGCTAAAGTTGAATACCAAAATCAGCCAGCAATGACTGATCTCTATTTGGTATGTTTTGTTTGTCTGATAAACTTGCAAAACTGGGTGATGCATAATAGGGAATACACAATTATTAGTGCAAATTAACAAAGTCTTAGCATATTTATTGCAGCAATCACAGGTGGGAAATCAAACAAATTCAAACTATTTCTGGCAGACAATGCTGAGAATAAGGTAGACAATACCGCATATTCAGTGCGAGGAAAAAACAAGGGAAAGACAAACATCACTAAGAAGTATCTTAGAAAGTTTTAAAATAAAGACTAAGTCTTCCTTAATAATTCTCTCATAACAAATATGAAAGAAATTAGCATTGCAAATGCAGATTATAGCCACCACTAGCAGCAAGAGGAACCTTTGTCACCCAAGAGGGCCTAACAGAAACCAACTGAAGCTAAACTGCTCATATTAACTGCAACAATCTAGCAAAAGCAAAACTGCAATGGTAAGCAATTCATCAGGGCAGTGCAGAGACACTGCTGTATGGTCTGTGGGTTGTGCAGAAGTCAAGGTGCAGCTTTCCCATCCTCGTTACGTGGCAGCCTCTGCCAGGGTACGAAATCCCTTGCAAATACCTTCAGCCTCAACTGAGACCAGGAAGCAAGCTGTGGAGACCCCATCCTCACGCAAGGGTCTCTGGAATCCCAGGGTCCCCTTTTAACAAAGTATTGACCTAGTACAGCAGTATCAGTGTACTTTGCATCCAGCTATTTGCAGCATTCAAATAATGACTCATCGTTACAACATAGACTGCTCTCACCAAAATCAAGTGACTTGAATACCGAGTTGCTCTGAAATGGAAAGAGGAAAGCAGAACCAGAGCTGGTAAAGATAAGAAGGGAAAAAGTATCCCCATGACTTATGATGAAAGATTATTCTAGAAATGACTCTGCCCTCATAGGAACAGAGAGCTGGATTTAACGTCCTAGAAAGCCCTGAAGATAATCTATTCAGAGGGATAAAACATGTTACTTAGCAAACAATAAATTCTGCAAATGCCATCTTAAAACTGTTCTTTCTGCCCAACCATTAAAACACATCATTATTGGAAGGCTTTTACAAAAGCTAACACTCCTGCTGACAAAAAAACCCCCTCTTTCCAAGATGCAACCTGCACTTACTCATAGCCAGTTTCTGTCTAACCTAGTACTAACACTATTCTTAAGGCTAAATAACCACTCCCCATCTCCCCGGTTATGTTTTGATGTAACAGAGGCATTTCGGGGGGGGGGGCCTCAGTTGGGAAACAGTTTATGCATTTATAGATCAGTAGTGCTAGCCTCATCTTTGCAGTGATAATCCACTGGGGAATTCTGGCTAGCCCATGCATGGGGCAGGTGGAGCCTCTCCTTGCCTCTGCTTTACCCCAGCCCAACCTGGGAAGGAAAGTTCTGGGGAAAGGCGTGAAGTCAGAAGGAAAGGAAGGAAGAAAAATGAGCGCATAATTCAGGGATAACAGGAGCATCAGGGAGCCGTGCCTCCAAAACTGAAGAACTCAGGGTGGTCAGTGAGAAGAGGCTCATGCTATAATTATATTTGTGTCCAGAAAAATAACTGTGACTCAAAGCACAAGAGCACTTGTGGAAAAGCAAAAATAGTTTAGACTCTGCTTCCTTTACAGCACCACCAGATGGGGTAGGGGTTCTGAGGGAAAGGTAGCATTCACTTTACTATGAATTAAGGATAGCATGAGTTCAAGCAAATAGAATCTAGCACAGTGTAATGGCAGCAGCTCTGCCCTCCCGGGGGGGGGGG